GGACGGGAGAAGCTGTGGAGTCCACTGCACAGGGGTGTGAGGGACTGTGGCCACGTCTGCAGTGTGCCACTTGTGTGAAGGAAGTTCAGATGTGGCCAGAATCAGGACAGACATCCATTGTGGCAGGATTTGGGGAGAAGAGGGAAGGGCTTTCAGGTGATCGGCGAGGACTGGGCATGTGTTAAACTGAAGGCCTGGTGGCCCAAGTGGACCTGCCTCCTGCCAGCTACGATCCAGCCCTTGCCTCTTTCCCGGAAGGTGTGCCGGGCACTGTGAGCTGGGGTAGGTCCTTTTGCTAAAAAAATCCCATCAGGGTTAGTTGGGAGATTGTGGCACCAGTGGGTGTCAAGAAGACAGTTTCTGGCATTGCTCTTGGGCTCAAGTACCATGAGGGTGCTGCCAGGCCATACCAAGATGCTCTGCTCATCCTTGATGACCTCAAGGTCATCTCATTTCCCTCATCCCGTGGGCCGTGATGGTGTGTGGCAGAGCTGAGGGAAGACTCTGGTGACAGCCAAGCCTATTCCAACATATCCTGTGTATCTTTCCCACTCCTGCTACCCCTGCACTGCAGCCCTCAGTCTTATTCTAAGCCTTTCTCATCCCTCATCCCTCTTCAGGCTTTCCTGCCTGGGTTCATCATCTATGGGTGTGTAACGAATTATCCCATGATTAATAGATCTTAGCTTGCATAGTTTCTGTGGCCCAGTAACTTGGGAGCAGCTTGGCTGGGTGGTTCTGTCTCAAGGAGCCTCAAGAGATTGCACTCGAGACATCTGCTAGTGCCACAGTCTCATCCGAAGGCTTGACTGGGCTGGAGGACCAGCTTCCGAGGTGGTCGGCTCATGTGCCTGCGAGTTACTGCTGCTGTTGGTAGGAGGGCTTGGGTCCTGCCACGTGGGCCTCTCTAGAGGGCTGCGGAATGACCCTGTGACAAGGCAGCTGGCTTCCCTCCATGTGAGTGATCCAAAAGTCCTTGATGGGAGAAGCTGCAAAGTCACACTGCAAGGAGGTGTGGGCGTGAGGAGAGGTGGTGGACTGTGGCTGTGGCTGCATCCCCCACACGGGAGGAAAAGCAGTGGCTGCAGTGGCTTTGATGGCGCAGCCTCGGAACCACACTCTGTCATTTCTGTAAGGCCCTGCTGGCTGCACTGGGTGGCCCTGCTCAGCATGGGAGGGCTTTACCACCATGTGAGTGCCAGGAGGTGAGGATCGCTGGGGCCATCTAGGAGGTTGCCCAAGCTCGATCCTTAGCATTGTGCTTTTTCTAGATGAAAGCTAGTTCGTCCGACCCACATATTCAGGTTATTGTCTGATGGAAGCTGAAGAGCTCAAGACACACTCCCTGAGCACTTGTCATGAGCCAGACACTGCCAGCAGCTCTGGGATGACACAGTCAGTGCGTGTGACTCTCAGTGAACCCTCGGGTGCGCAGGAAACGTGACTGTCTTTTCTGTGTGATTCCATTCAGCTGAGGGGAAGAAACGCATTCTCAGTCAGTTCTGGACTTCATGCCCCATTTCCCTGGGGTCGTGTCACAGACAGGGCATTTGCAACTCTGCCTGGAAGGCGCAAAAAGAGGACCGCATGACTGTTTTCAGGCAAAGGTTGCCATGGATAAGAAGCACTTTGCATTGGCTGTGTAATGTGGAACAGCAAGCTAGCATGAGTTAGAGGCTTAAAGCAGCATCCGTGACCTCCCTGTGTCTGTGGTCAGTGCCTGAGGCGCTCCCTGGACCTTCTCTCAGCCTGCAGTCGAGGTGTCCGTGGGCTGCTCTCCTCCCTCTGCGGACAGGATCTGCTTCCTCATGCACTCCCCAGATCACTGATGGGGTCAGCTCTATGCTGGCTGCTGGCCTCTCTGCAGGGCAGCTTGCACTGACAGCTGACAGCCACTCCTTCAGGGCAATAAAGGAGAAAAGGCGGGGGCCGTGGGGGGGAGTCAAGACGTAAGTCAGAGGCTTCCGAAACCTCGCCCTGGGAAGTGACATCCATCACCTTTGCTGTGTCCTATTCACTAGAAGTGAGCCACTGGGCTCCACCCACATTCGGGGAGAAGAATCGGGCATGGATGCAGGTGGACAGGGCCCAGCACCTTGAAGTCACCCTGCCCAGGCTGGCACGTGTGTCCCAAGAGTGTTGTATGAGGGTGGGCAACGTGGAAAACATGCACAGCTCATGTGACTATCAAAGGAATGACTAGTTTGTTTGTTTTTTGAGGCAACATCTCACTCTGCTGCCCAGGCTGCAGAGCAGTGGTGCGATAACAGCTCATTGTAGCCTTGAACTCCTGGGCTCAAGCGATCCTCCCACCTCAGCCTCCCAAGGAGCTGGGACTACAGCTGTGTGTCACCATGCTTGGCTAATGAAATTTTTTTTTCAGAGATGGGGGTCTCACTGTGTTGCCCAGGTTGGTCTCAAACCCCTGGGCTCAAGAGATCCTCCCGTCTCAGCCTTCCAAAGTGCTGGGATTATAAGCATGGCCCACTGTGCCCAGCCTTAGAATGACAAGTTTTAAGTATTTGCCTAATTAAAGGGACAGCATTAAGGAAACCACTAGCCTCTTGCAACTGGAACCAGAAGACAAGCCCCGAGCACTGCCCCTGAGTGCTGCCCCTGTGCTTCTGTTGGAGCACTGCAAAGCCTGTTGCCCACTCTGGCGGGGCGTTGGGTGGCCTGCTATCAGCAGAGCCAGCGAGCTCCCACTGGAATGGGGCGGGGGGAAGAGGTGTGAGGTTGTTGTGCCTGAAGAGCGGACATTTCCCCAACATCAGGTCCCTAGCTAGTGAGCGGGACATCCGCTTCAGCCAGGGGCTGCACAGGGGTTGGAGGAGCCCATCCAGGGAGCCCGCACCTGGAAGGTGGGGGGCATGTGTGGTTTTGTATGCCACGGGTCAGCCATCACTGCAGGCTGATCTCCTTGCCTCCTGGGAGCCCGGCGAGGCCGTGCATGGCGGCATCCCTCTGAGGGCGCTCCAGCCCTTTCCAGGAGAATCCTCATGTCTTGGCAGGACCAAGGCGGGAGTGTTGAAGCCCCTACAGAGCTCCAAGAACAGCCTCATGTCTGGCTCAGGCCCCTGCTCCGGGACCACCTCTGCCAGCTCTTGTTCTCCTCCCACCCCACAGATGGGCCCACAGGACATCTGCTGTGCCACGATGGAAATTTCTGTAGCTGTGCAGCCCAGCCTGTCGCCAGTGCCACATGTGGCTTTTGGGTACTAGAAACTTAGCTCATGAGACAAAGTATCCAAATTTTAACTTCACTAAATTAAATTGATTTTAGTGTTAGAGTAGTATTGAATTTAGCATAGCTAGTGGCTGCCATGTCAGATGGGACAGCTAGCGGCAGAGCCCTGTGCCCAACCTCTGGCTAAGGCCCAGCAGCCCCAGCATCGCCCTGGAGCTTAGAGAAATCTCAAGCCTCAGGCCGTATCTCAGATCTTCAGCCTCAGAATCTGTGCTTTCACCAGCTCCTAGGTGATTTGGAAGCGCATTAGATTGTAGGAGCCAGCTCAGTGTGGAGGGCAGAGGTCAGGGTGTGGAGGGCAGGGGTCAGGGTGCCATGGCTTTATCTGTGCCACAGCCTAGGCTTAGTGAAACTACAAGGAAAAAAATTGGCCCTTCTGTTCTCCGCACCGTGAGCTTTGTGACTGATCCGAGGCAGCGAGCGGGGCGCTGTGCTGCTGTGGCAGGGAGGTCACGGGTGACAAGAACTGCCAGGGACGAGGCCACATGCGTTAATTCATTAAAATACAGTCAGCTACGGAAGGCAGCGTAGGATGTGGTTCTGTTCTTAACGAATTTCATCTGGATGGGGAGACAGATGTGTAAACATGGACTCGAAGGCCCGGGGAGCTGAGATCAGACAACAGGCGCCAGACGCATCCTAACTACAGCTGGGCAGCGGGTTGGGGTTGGGGGTGGGGTTCCCGGAGGTGGCCTTGAGCCAGCCTTTCAAATGGCTTTGCTTTCCTCTGGGAAAGCTGGAGCTTAGGAGGAGAAGGCCAGGTCAGGCCCTGGGGAAAGAAAAGCCAGGAAGGACAGAAGGAGCCTGTGGGTGATGGGTCTCCCTGGGACTCAGGTTGTCTTTCTGGAGCCCCTGTGCCTGCCACCTGCTGGGCTGGCATTCTGCTTCCAGCTCAGCCCCATCCTGCACAGGTGACCTCAGCCCCTCCCTGCACAGCTGACCTCAGCCCCTCCCTGCACAGCTGACCTCAGCCCCTCCCTGCACAGGTGACCTCAGCCCCTCCCTGCACAGCTGACCTCGGCCCCTCCCTGCACAGGTGACCTCGGCCCCTCCCTGCACAGCTGACCTCCGGTGGCTTTCCTGCCTCCAGGGCTCCAGCTGATTCATCTGCGGAGTGGAGAGCTTGCCCGCAGGGTGGCTGTGGCGAAGCAAGGCAACATCTGTTACTGCACCTCGAAGCCAGGCTCAGATGTTTCCTTCTGCGTGGGAAGTTCTTCCGTAGACAGTGGGACCTGGGCACGCGGGGGCGTGTGGTGTTTTGGATGCCACGGCCTGGCAAGGTGTCCTTTCTTAAGCATTTGTGGGCTTCTTTAAATCCCATGACAATTTTGTGTGTGTTTGCTGTTTTCTGGGGCGGAGGCGCCCTCGCCAAACTCTCCCAGGGGCCCCTGTCTTCTCTAGTAGGTCAGAACCCACTGCTGGGTGTGCTCGGTGTTTTCTGAATTAATAATGATGAGTGAATAGGTGACGTCTAGAGACAAAATTTTAACTCAGGTTACTGGCCGGACCAGGAAGGTGGGGGTTTCAGGCCCAGGCCAGTGGCCGGAGGCAGCTTTGTTAGGGGCAGGGAAGGGCCCTGGGACCAGCAGGGACCAAGCCTGGCTTCGGGCCATGTGCGAGTGTTTTGCAGAGGCCTGCTTAGCTTCTCCGGGTAGGGACTGCTCCCCCTCTTACTTCCATCTCCCTGCAACCCTTGTGACATCATACAGGCACAGCCAATCTCTGGAAAGTTCCGTCTCTACCTCAGGCCTCTATACATTCTCTCTGAGCTGGCACTCAAGCACTATGGGACCTTGGCTGGCTTCTGGGGAGCAAGAGATCCATTTCTGAATACTGGATTTCTGACTCCTGGGTGAGCTGGAGTGTGGTTTTAAATACCTTGCTATCTTTAAGGTTGGCTTTGCCAAAAGAATAGGGTGACAGAGATGAATTTCAGTAATGCAATGAACGTTCGACACTTGGAAGGTGACAGAGGGTAGACGGTGGCAGATACCACTTTGTGCTGTCGAACTGTGTTGGTATCGGGTGTGGCCCAAACACCCGCAGGGGCCCTAGAGGCAAGTCAGGCTTCTGGGCCCCAGTCTCTGCTCTGCTTGGTTTCAAATCATGTGACTTTGGTCTTTTTTAAAGAAAAATCTAAAGAGGCTGGGCACGGTGGCTCATGCTTGTAATCCCAGCACTTTGGGAGGCCGAGATGGGTGGATTGCTTGAGTTGAGGAGTTTGAGACCAGCCTGGGCAACAAAAATACAAAAAAATAGCCAGGCATGGTGGTGTGTGCCTGTGCTCTCAGCTACTTGGGAGGCTGACGTGGGAGAATGGCTTGAGCCCAGGATGGGGTTGGGGTGGAGGTTGCAATGAGCCAAGATCACGCCACTGTACTCCAGCCTGGACGACAGAGTGAGACCCTGTCTCAAAAAAAAAAAAAAAAAAAAAAAAGAAAAAATCTAAAGAACTAAGGCCATGGTGAAGTAAACCTATATTCAAAAGAAGAGTCACAACGTAGAACTAAATGTAAACATATACCAACAGTTGGTGGTGGCCAGGGGTCTTGTGCAGTTGACCTTGGGCTGCTCAGAGTCCCTGCTCAAGCTCACTCTAGTTTTGTCCCAAACTTGAACAAACCGCTTCTGTTATTTCACCATAAATCTCATACTTTTGGCCAAAGGCTTCTTCGGAACTATCGACAGTGATGACAAAGTCCCTGAAGGTTTCCTTCTTTACGAGGGAGTAAGTCTGCCATCAGCACAGCCTTCGCTGCTTGTCAGAGGAAGGGCTCTCTTTCCTGTGCTTCCTAGACTTGCCTGGTCATGCCTTTTCTTATTTTAAGGCTAATCCCAAAGGAAAAAATAGCGTGAGCACGACTTGACTGCATGAAATTTCATGATTCTGTTTTAGACAGTCATTGCCTCCTCGCCTTGCTGTAACTCATGATAATACTCCTCATTTGCGGTGATTAAGTTGAAATTTGCAGGCAAAGCTTTAGCATGTTCCTCAAACATCAGAGCTGACCCTGGGTCTGGTCTCAGCCACAGCAGAAAATGTATTTAAGGGCTCCCTTGAGCAGGCAATGGGAGGGGTTGTAGCAGTGGGCTCAGCAGCAGCTGCCACAGGCCATCTGAGCGCTGTGAGATGGTGAGCTGGTGGCCTCAGCTGAGGTTGCATGGCTCCCTCCTTTCTTGCCTAGACCTTGGCTATTTTATGAACAGAAAGGGCAGACATGTCATAGCCCTTTTCATAGCAGACACTGGTTGGGCCTGTGCTGTGGCCTGGAGGCCTCTATGGTTTGGATGTTTGTCCGCCCAGACCTCATGGTGAAATCTGACCCCCCCCCCCCCCCCCCGGGTTGGAGGTGGGGACCAGTGGGAGGAGTCTGGGTCATGGGGGCGGATCCCTCGTGAACGGCTTGGTGCCCTTCTGGAGGTGTTGAGAGGGTTCTTGCTCTGTTGGTCCGGTGAGAGCTGCTTGTTAGGAAGAGCCTGGCGCCCCGTCCCACGCTTCCTCTCCTGCCCTGTGGTGTCTGCAGGTGGGCTCCCCTCACCTCCCACCACGAGTGGAAGCAGCCTGAGGCCCTCGCTGGAAGCATATACTAGTGCCGTGCTGTCCGTGCAGCCTGCAGAACCGTAAGCCAAGTAACCTGTTTTCTTTGTGAATTGTCCAGCCTCAGGCATTCCTTCACAGCAACACAAATAGGCTAAGACATTGGGAGAACACAGATAAATTTTGCAATATTTGGGGAGATAAAGCTGCCTTTACTGTTGTTATAAATAAAGTTTCAGTGCCGCAAAAGAAACAGCACTTGAATATATATATTTTTTTTCTTCTCAGCAAGACAATGTACTTCTATAGAAGGGTGCGCCCTCACAGATGGAGCAGTGGTGAGCGCACACCTGGACAAGGGAGGGGAAGGGGTTCTTACTCCTGATCACGTGGCCCCTGCTGCTGTGGGATTCCCCTGTTGGCTAGGGTTAGACAGCACAGGCTAAACTAATTCCTACTGGCTAATTTAAAGAGAGTGATGGGGTGAGTGGTTTGGTGGGATAAATGGTTATGGCAGAGCAGGAAATCGGAATGAGTCAGGGTGGAGAATAAGTCGGGGCCGAGCAGGTGATCAAAAAAGGTTGCTTTATGAGGAAGTTAAGTTTAAAAGTAGAAGGCAAAGAATTGAACATACTGACATATTGATTCTTTGAAGAGAAATTTAGAACTCATATCTAATACTGTTTTTTTTCCATAATACAGTGAGAGGGCCTGTGGTTTCAGACAGCACAGGCCTGGGGTCCAATTCATCTGCATTCACGGCCCGTCCCGCTCCCTGTTCATTAGCTGAATGCCATTGGGCGAGAGCCTCCGCCCCGTCTCTGAGCTTCTTAGCAATGGGTATAATCATGTGCGACTCCAAGGCTTGGAGTACGAGGGACACCAGAACAAATACGGAGCTGTAGAGTTGATGCTTAGAGACATCAGTTCTCTTCCTTCTGCTCCTGGCTCATAGTACACATGTTTTGAAAACCATGCCAGGGATCTGACCTTAACACACCCAAGCATTTAGCTGCAGGGTCGTTGGCAGAAAAGCCTCAAGTGGGGATTCAGAGAAGGCTTTAATTAAGCTTGGCTTGTGGGGGCTGCTACCTGGGCTGTATCTACTGTGAAACAAGAGCAGCTTGATGTTCTAGGAGAAATGCTTGGGGCCCAGGACCATCTGCTGGAGGGAAAAGAATGGGTGTTTCCAGAGAAACAGACCAGCACTGGGGCTCTTCCCTGGAATTCGGGTTACGTGTCCTGGGCTTGTGAACCGGGCACAAAAGATGTTGCAAGTCTTTGCTTTGGGAAGCTGTCAAGGGTCATTGCCCCCTGAGCCCAAACCTCTTAGCACCTCCCCGACCACGCCTTTCACTTTGGTAGTGTCGATAGCTCTTCTTGGTTGTTAAGAAGTTTGGATGAAAAGCTTCAGGTGTGTATGTATTACAGTTTCATGTTGCTGTTAGTACAGGTCCTTAGCGTCTTACAGAATGCAGCTTTCTGATCTCATGGTCTGTTTGGCAGACCTCCAGGTAGGCTCATTGGATCCCTCTGCTCTGGGTTTCATGAGGCTGAAATCAAAACACAGTGGGCTGAGTTCCCCCCAGAGGCTCTGGGGGCATCCTCATCAGCCTTGCTGGGGTTGTGGGCAGAATCCAGCTCCCTGAGGTTCCCTGTCCTTGCTGGCAGCGGGAGGACCCACCCCAGCCTCCCAAGGCCTCTCTTACGTCTCTGCCCATGAACCCTGAGCTTCAGAGCTCGGCCATGATGTGGCGTCTCTCTTTCGAAGCCTGATTGAGAGTCACACTTGGGCTCTTTCTGACTTCCCTTTCTGCTCCACGGTTCTCTGTTTCCAGACAGAGAAAGTCGCCTGCTTTTAAGGCGTTGTGTGATGACACTGGGCCCACCCAGATCACCCAGAATTACCCAGGCCCAGCTTAGCATCTGTGGCTTCACTGTGTCTGCAAATTCTGCTTTGCATATATGGCGAGAAATACACAGGTCTCAGGATTAGGGAGCGCGCATCCTGGAGAACATCCTGCCCACCACAGGCGGAAGTGTTCACTCTAAGGCCCTGCAGGCAGGTTATTTGCAATTAGCACATTCCTAGTCGCAAGTCGATGCTTTAGGAATTAATGGCTGATGAGATGTAGGGACTGATTTCAAGGCACCACCTGCAGCAGAACCTATGTTACAGCACGAAGAACCCCTGATATTCTTTATATATACATTTTTTTATTTTACAAATGTATTGGGCACATGTGAAAGTGTGTTATGTGTATATAATGGATGGTGATCAGCCCAGGGTATTTAGGGTGTGCCTTACCTGAGTACAATCCATTCTTGTAGCTTGCAGTCACCCTGCTCTCGAAAGAGAATAGTTCATGACACATAAAACTGATATGAAATCCAAATTTCAGTGTCCATAAATAAAGTTTCGCTGGAACACGGCCGCCCTTGTTCACTTATGTAACGTCTGAAGCTGCTTCGTGCTGCAGTGGTGAGGGGATGTAGACCTGCAAAGTGTTTATTACCAGGGGGCCTGGCAAGGCTGCAATGTCCAGTGTGGTGGAAGAGCACTAGCTTCGGAGTCAGAGGAAGACATGAGTTCACTTTCCATGGGGAGTATGGAAACATGGTGCCTGCACTGTAAGGTGGTTTTAGAGGCAGAAACACCATTGTACCCAGCAATTCCATTACTGTGTATATACCCAAAGGAATATAAATCATTCTATTATAAAGACACATGCAGGCACCTGTTCACTGCAGTACTATCCATGATAGCAAAGACATAGAAGCAACCTAAATGCTCATCAATGATAGACGGATAAAGAAAACATGGTACGTATACACCATGGAATACTATGCAGCCATCAAAAGAACGAGATCATGTCCTTTGTAGAAACATGAACGGAGCTGGAAGCCATTATCCTCGGCAAACTAACACAGGAACAGAAAACCAAACACCGCCTGTTCTCACTTATAAGTGGGAGCTGAACAAGAGCACATAGACGTGTTACGGGGAACACCACACACTGGGGCCTGTCGGAGGGTGGTTAGAGGGAGAGCATCAGGAAGAATAGCTCATGGGTGCTGGGCTTAATACCTAGGTGATGGGATGATTGTCATGTGTGTCCGTGTGAAGAGACCACCAAACAGGCTTTGGGTGAGTAATAAAGCTTTTTAATCACCTGGGTGCAGGCGGGCTGAGTCCGAAAAGAGAGTCAGCGAAGGGAGATAAGGGTGGGGCCATTTTATAGGATTTGGGTAGGTAAAGGAAAATTCCAGTCAAAGGGGGGTTGTTCTCTGGCGGGCAGGAGTGGGGGTCACAA